GTATAAATAACTGCATCCTCCAAGTGGAATGTAAGCTCCCTTGAGGGCAGGAAGTTTCATTTTCATCTTTGTATCGCCAGCACCTAGTACAGACCTTTGCTCACAGCAAGCCTGGTAAACATTTGTTGAACTAAAATAATACCCAAATGAGAATGACTTATGGACAGCAGAAATACAGGGCTTCGTTGTTCAGCATATTAGAAACTAAGTTGTTTGAGTCTAAAGGCGGTTATTTCACTACCATTTATAAAGAAAGTAAACCATTATAAAAACTTTGAAAATCTATTCTCTATTTTACATCTATTGTCCTCTTGCCAGCCTCATTTACATTTACTTTTGGGATGATATGGCTTAGCTGGATCTCACACCAAACTTTGAAACTAGTTTTTGAATGAATGATGAAGTTTTATTAAGTGCACACTACATGCCAAGCACTGCGCTAAGCTTCAGGCACACAAATATAAGGAAGCAAGACAGCCCCTGCTTTCAAAGAGCTCACATTATAATAGAGGAAGACAACTTTATTTTAAGGCAATTGGGGTTAAGTGACTTGCCCAGGGTCACATAGCTAATAAGTGTCAAGTGTTTGGTCTGACACCAAATTTGAACTCAGGTCCTCCTGACTTCAGGGCCAGTGCTCTAACCACTGCGCCACCTAGCTGCCCCTGAAACTGTCTTATAAGCACTAGTAATTTGCTGCTATCCTCCGCTATAATGTTTTACAAAAGAGTTTGTATGCTAAAGTTGTATTGTTCTTTGTTGCAATGTCTCTTTAAGAAGACCATGAAAGTGCAGCTTAAGATCTTTTCTGAGGTTCTTTAGACACTGTGGCCACTGCTTTATGTTAGTTAAGCTTTTATAGGAAATCATGATAATAAAGGTCAGCATCTTTGCCTTTTTTTCCCCAATCCCCACTTTTTGACATCAAAAATTCATTAGCATAAAGCAGATTAAAGCTATTATAATTTTTACAGTGTTTTCTCATCTTTATTCTTTCTTCCAATTTTATGTTGATTTTAACCTTCGTTCTAACTAATCTGATAACACACAGGAAGCTGATTCTGAAATTATTCCATTGGAAACTAAACACTTCCTAAGACATAGTAAATTTCCATCTTTTGGTAGTGATATTTATTCTCGTCATGCCCAGTGCCTTCTAACTCTTCAGGTAATCATGATATTAAAGTGTACAATTTCTGAATACCTTTTTTTTCCATTTTTTAAACCTCAACCTTACCCTAAGCAGGGATGGGGAACCTCTGGCCTCGAGGCCACATGTGGCCTTCTAGGTCCTTGCGAGTCACCTTTTGACTCAAATTCTTTTATTATGGAGATTTGTTCTGTGAGGTTTGGATTCAAAGGGCCACACTTGAGGACCTAAAGGGCCAACATGTGGCCTCAGGGCCACAGCTTGCCCACCCCTGCTAGAGAATAGTTGAGAAAATGCATCTCCCTTTCTTATTTGTGGAGCTAGGGGCCAAGCTCAGTTAATGTGTTGGTTGGTTTTGATTAAGTTTTTTTCTCTCTCTTTTATAATTCTTTGGTACAAGGAATGGCTCTCTGGGGAGTGGATGGGAAGATATATTCTGAAATGAGAGTAATATTAAAACAGAAGACATCAAAACTTTTTTTTTTTAAACCTGAACTGTGTTTTCCAAAGTACTTTTGATCATCTTCTGTTGTGCCCAATTTCACAGGGAAATCAACACAAAAGTGTAAGTTGGCTTGTTTTTCAGACTTTTACCAAGTTCTTTATAGAATTTCTCTACCTTTTCATCTTCTGCAACAAATATTGGTGCACAAGGGACAATTATCTTCATGGTGGTTCTTCTGTTCACGCTTGTGAGTTCTATAAAATGTGATGTTTTAATATTCCATGAAATGTTTCATATTCCTTTTGGGAACACGATGAACCCAATATTTTTTTTTTTTAAAGGGCTGCCTCTATTAGGAGAACCAATGAGACATCTTTACATTGGGCTAAACTTTTTGTTTTTCAGATCTGATGAGAATGTCAATATTGATGTGATTCAGTTGTTTCAAAAATAGGTCAATTCATTATTCTCTGGACAAAGAGCTCACTTTTAGACCGCTAACAGTTAATGTTTATAGACGGTCTAAAAATTATGTGATTCTTAGCATGTTCTGCCCCCTTCCGGCCACTGACATGACATAAGGGCCACACAAGGATGAGTACCATTTAAAAAGGTTTCTTGTTTCATAGGTTTTCAAATTCATCAGCTGGTAGCTATCCTACTGGTGATGCTCTGTGTTCTTAGATAAGTTAGTTTTCAGAAGGAGTTTATGGTCAGGACCATGACAAAAAGTCTTTCCAGGTCAGCAGAACCTGCCAGAACTTATGTTGGGCTGGCATACTTTTCAGGAACCCAGTATAATTCTCATACTATAATCAGAGTAAGAATTTGTGGAGAAAATCTAGTTAAAGTCTAACTCAAATGTCCTCTCTACCAATCTTTTCTGGATTCCCTGTTGGTAATGACCAAATAGAGTGTCTGTTTTTCACCTCTCCTATGGACTTACTGTGTGATATTATTATCATTAGTTATCTATGTTTTATCTCCCTATTACAACACAAGCTCCAAGAGGTTAAGAAGCATGCCTTACCAAAATTTTATCTATTCCCCAGCACCTAGTTAAGAAATAGTAATAAATCTTTATTGACCGGGCCAGAAGGAATCTAGGTGAACTACATTTTAGGAGATGGGTGGGAAAAATGTTTCAAAATACATAGCCTAGAACCAGAAAAATAGGAACTTGAAGATGGAATGAAACTAAACCTGCAGAGATTAAACATATTTAACTCTAGCCTGTAAAATCTGAGCTAAATTAGTAAACAATGTGGAATAGAAAGTAGAATTAGGAAAAATTTTGGTTCAAATTTCTCCTTTGACATTTTAACTGGGATAACAAAACCTGTAGTGCTAACTTCACAGGGTTATGGTGAGGATTAAGTGAGATCCTGAACTACGCTTTGTCAACCTTAGACTAATCATTAGAGGGTAGTTTGTCTTTTTGTAAGCCTGACAGCCAACTATGAATAGTATTTATGCTTTCTAGATCTATGTAGTGTCTTGGAGTGGCTAGTGGAGAGCTATTCACAGGCATGAAAGAAATCATTGATAATTCATGGTGCCTCAGTGAATCTCAATAGCGCTGGATGCTATCCAAAGCAAGCCTTCATTCAGCACTTATATATACAGTTCATACCTTACAGTATTATCTTTCAGTTACTCATATGCCACTTTGTAATTACTTTCCATATGTTTTATGTTACGTATATGGTTCTTTCTATTGTGAATAACCTGAAGGTCTTATGTCAAGAAAAGGATTTACTATTGCTATTCTTTTGTGTATTCAAAAAGAAAAACCTCTCTTGTTTCTGATTCTGGAAAATCATCAATTAATTCTTAATATGAAAAAAAAACCTTTAAGAAAAAAAATTATGTCTGTAGAAACTACCAATTCATAATAAATCAAACGCCTCTCACTGTACAAATTCAGTTACCTGATAGAGTAAAAACAGAAGATATTTTTTTGATTGGATCCTGATGCCATCATTATACAAAATTACAATGCATTTGATATTTTTAACTTCTATAGCACTTATTTATAGGGAAAACTTACTGGCAGAGGAATCAGGCATTCATGCTCTTCCACCAACTAAGTGGCTTTCATAGAGTGTTAGAATGGGAAGAGATATTAAGAGATAATCTAGTCCAACTCCCTCATTTTACTGGTTGAGGAATCTGAGAGCAAAGACATGAAGTGACTTACCTAAAGTCACACAACTAGTTGCTGACAGAGCAGGGACAAGACCTCTATTTCCTGACTTCTTGTCAATCAAGTGTTCTTCTCTCTACCCCAGTATTTCAATCCTGTGGCTCCCTATTGTGGCTAGGACCAGATATAACTCCTCCAGCATTTAAAGACTGTCACAAGCTAGCCCTTACCTGTCTTCCCACATACTGTGGTTCAGCCAAAATGACTTTCTTCTTGTTCCTGAGACTAGGTATATTCCAGCCATCTACTTTGGAGCCTTTTTCTACAGCTCTTCTACCTGTTTGTAATGTTCCTTCCTCTTCTACCTCAATGAATCCCTAGTTTTTGCATTCTGTTACAAGAGCTTTGTTTTCTTTTCCCTCCCAATGGCAGGGACATGAGGTGGGTGATAAAATACTTTTATTAATACAAAAAATATAAAAAGCAACTCAGAATCTTTAGTTTCTTTCAGTGCTCGGACCAAGTGCCACCTTCATATATAGCTGAATGTGTACTGTCGTCCTCCCTTCCAATTCCTAAAGTCTTTGAGGTCAGGACCATTTTCCGTTTTTTTTCTCTTTGTATCCCTAGCGCCTAGCAGTGCCTGGTATTACAGCAGAAGCTTAACACATGCTTGTTTACTGAGCGACAGTTACGTGCAGCACCTTGTAATGCCTGTTCCCCAATTTCAGACACGTGGAGCAGCCACTAAAGCAGCCCCCAAAGATCACGTGGTACACAGGATACAGAACTCTGCATTTCCTCTCACGCAGTAAGGCTTTCTGAATTGAGCTAATTTGAAGGACCTGGGTGCAAATCTGTGACCCTGGATACGTCACCTAACCTCTTTGGTCCTCAGTTTCCTCATCTACAAAACTTAGAAGGTGGCCTCGGTCAACCCCTCCGATCCGGTGCTGTATCAGTCCCCCTCTGCCTCAGATCGGACTCTGGCTGCCCCACTCCCTCCCTTCAGGTGGGGGGGGGAAGGGAAGCGCTCCTGCCTCCCTCGGGCCCGCCCACCCAGTCCGGGGGCGGCGCCAGCCGCGAGCTCCGACGGTGGCCGTGAAGGACTCTTCCAGACCCGCAGCGGCGTCCCGGCCTCCCTCCAAGCTCTGGGTGAGCCTCGAGGACCCTGCCGAGGATGCAGAGATCAAGAAAGGCGGTGAGCGAGGTTTCCTCTTTCCCGGTCCCTCCAGCTAGCGCCCGAGGGCCTTCCTTACCCGTCCGAGCGGGCGCGTGCCCTCCTCCTCCCTCGGGCTCCTTCCGCTTCCCGCCGCTCAGCGGAGCTCCTAGGGCTCCGCCGGCGGCCTCTCGGCCCGGCGGTTTGACAGTACCCTGTATCCCAGACCACTTCCGGTAACGTCACTTCCGCACGGAGAAAATGGGGCCGGAGGCGGGCCGGAGGAAAAAGGGAAAAGCGAAGGTTGTGGCGCACGCATGCGTGCGTCTTCCTGTGCGCGGTCCGGGCCACCTTCCCCGAGTTGGGGATCCCAGACAGTCGGCGTGGACTGGAGGCGGGAGGCGGACTCACGGGACGCGCCGCCCCGGGAGAGCCCACGTGCTGGGCGCGGGCGGTTGAAACGGTTCTCCGGCGCGCGGCGGGGGTGAGTGATGGTCCGGTGAGGCGGGCCGAGGCTGCAGAGGACGGGGCCGCCGCCGGGAGAAGGAGCTGGCTGGCGGCAGCCGCCCGGGTCGGGTCGGAGCCCCAGCGTGGACCGCGGCGATACCGAGCGGCTCGCCGAGGGGCAGCGCGGGGCCGGGAAGCCCCGGGGGTGGACGGCTCAGGCCCGGCAGTCAGACGACCCGGGTTCGAGTCCCTGCCGGGCCACGAACCGCCCGGGCGGCGCCGGCAGGTTCCTGTTTGGTCATGTTTAGTTAAGGGCTGGCTGGACCTCCGGAGGCTCCTCCTGCGTGTGGCCCGGGCTTGTTAAGAGTCAGATGGTGCTAGGGCGGGGGAGAGGGGTGACACACCACACGAAGCAAAATGGAGCCATGGGAAGACGCAGACGTCTGTCTGTCTGTCTGTCTGTCTGTGAGCCCCCGCTCCGTCGCCTCGTCCCGGTGTGATCGGGCAGCAGTAACAGGGGGTCAGCCTTTACACAGCGCTTGCTCTGGGCCAAGCGCCTTACAATCACTCTCTCATTTCATCCTCACAACAACTCTGGGAGGTAGCCCGTTTTACAGGTGAGGAAACTGAGGTAGACGGGTTTTGTGACTTGCCCAGGGTCACACAGTTAGAACGTGTTTGAGGCCGGTTTTGAACTCCAGTATTCTGGGCTCCAGGCCAGGTGCTCTGTGAACTGTGACACCTAACTGTCTTTGCAAGACTCCCCAGCCCACTTTAGGGGACCTAGTGACCCACAATTCTATTCAGGAAACAGTTAAGTTTTTGAGATTGAGGTGTGTAGTCGAAGTGGACTCCGAGATAAAAAATTACTTCCCGCGCTCAAAGAGCTTACAATTCGAAAAGGATGTATACACAAACATGACGTAAGGTAGACTGTGATCCCAGAAGAGGAGAAATGCCAAGTAGCCTGAAAAAAACTGAACTAACAAGACAGTGGCTTTGGGAGGGTAAGAGGTACATCTTGTAAAAAGAGAGTGTTGGACCAGCTTGTGACCCTTTCAGTTCTATTATGCTGAATGTGTAAGTTAATTTATTCCTTGAAAGTTTTGATGGGGAACAAGATGGAGAAAGAGACTTGGGGCACTAGGCTACTAAAAGATGAGTGATAAGTGACTGCTGCCGAGGAGAGTTAAAAGACATTGAAAGGAGGCAGTGAAAAACAACTTTCAGTTTTGTCTCCGAACTGTCTGTGTGTGTGTGTGTGTGTGTGTGTGTGTGTGTGTGTGTGTGTGTGTGTGTTTGGACCTTTGGTTTCAAAGGGATTCTGGATGTAACTAGTTTATAACTTAATGTCTTAGAGAGTTGCCTTGGACACCAAGAGGTTAAGTGACTTGTTCTAAATTACAGAACTAATATGTGTCTGTGGCAGGCCTTGAAACCCACATTTCCTGACTACTACTCTGAACATTACAGCACAACTGCCTCTCCTACTTTATCTGTGTCCCTTTCATATAATAAGCACTGAATAAATGTTGAATTAAACTGAATTTTGAGAACTCAGGAATACCTCCTTGACATAATGAGACATTACTGCAAGATTTTAGCAGAGGAGAGAAAAAAAGTGCTTTCGTTTAGGTCACACAACTTGCTAGTGACATAGCTGGAATTAGAACATCTCCAAATTCTCAACCTGTGCTTTTTCCACTAGGTCACACTACTCTGTAGGATAAGTCCTTATTTCAATTTTTAAGTATAGTACTGCATAGTCAAGAAGCAGTGTGGTACAGTAGAGCACCATCTTGAACCAGTGTCCTACCTCTGATACTCATCTCTTAACAAAGCTCCAAGCGGCTCTCCAAGACTGAGTTACAGAGACGGTGCTTTGGCAAAGGGAGTTTTCTCACCCAGGAGTTCCACAGGTGCAGTCTCTATGCTACTAATGTGCAATCATGGATTGAACTGGGAAAAGGGTGTTACATATAAAGTGTGTCCCACTCTTACAAGGGTCCACAACATTAATTTTGCCTTTCTTTGTATTCCTAGTGCTTTGCACAGAGTCTGGAAAATAGACTCTTAAAAAATGCTTGTTGATTTGTACCACTGGATATTTTCACTTGGTAGGTTCAAGTGGAATTTCTTTATAGAGTTAATACTTGGTTTGCCCAGCCATAAACTGAAAGAATAGGATCTTTCCTGCAAGTTTACAGTTTTACAGTGTGAAAGACAGTCAAGGTTATTTTTATGGTTTATATTAATACGTGCACTGAGGCTTCTAAAGTAAGCTGATTACAAGCATTATCTTATTAATCCACGTGAATAACAAGCAAGTGATATAAATTGTTCTCTCCATTAAGTATAAAGTACAAAAAAAGAGCAGAAAGAGATCCTGTAATTTACCCAAAGCCCCAGAACATGTCTGAAATTATTTTCTAAAATAGCAACTCCTAATTTAGGAATGGATCATTGTGCAAAAAACCTCACAAAAAATTTTTTTTAATAAAAATAATGTCACACATGGTGTTGAGGTTCCCAGGGCAGGGTACCAAAACCTATATAACTTATAATGGAACTGAAGTACAATACTGTTGATCCCAAACATCAAATATGATAGTGATTCCAGAGAAAAATACATTCAGGTTCTAACTTGGGATACCAGGAATGCCTTTCCTGTATGCCTATCCTGTGAAGACTTCAATTCTAGCAACAGAATTAGAGAGTCACTCTCCCCTTACCTCCTATCCACTTGGTTAGTAGAAAAGAGAACTCTCTCAGCTCTAAAATCATTTGCATGGCCTGAGGCTGAGGTTCTAGGGTGGAAAGTGTAAACAACTGAGGAGGGAATTCTGGAGTGAGGAACAGAAATGGAGCTAGTGGCTGGAGGATGTATTGCCTTTCCCATTAGTAGTGCTGAAAACCTTGGGCTGGGAGAGTGGTAGGAGGGCAGGGCTTGTAAGCCCCGTGTCCTCTTCTCATCATCTTCTCTAGTTCCCCCTTGATCTTTTCGGTTACTTCACCACTGCCAGGTGAGCGGTAGGGTAATAGAGAGGAGGGAGGAGTGTGGAATAGCAACAGGAGGAGGCAGGATGGAGTTTGCTTCTCTCCATCTTAACCTCTCTCAGTCATCCTGAGTTTGGTAAGTTGCTTAGTGTAGGGATGTTGGACTAGATCATTGCCAGGATAACACTTTATGCCCTGAACTGAATTTTAAGTTTCCAAGTCGCTTGTTTATCTTCTTCCCTACCAGAGGTCCCTGGGCAATTGATTGTGGACAGCAACATAGTTTCTGGTCACTTGCCCTCCCTTCTGGCTGGTAGGACTTCCCTATCAAGCATCCCCTCTCCCATAGGATCACAAGACTTCAGGTGAGAAGCAGAGTAGTTCCTTACCACAAAAGGGTTGGATGATTCTTTACTTATGTTCCTGGGATGCTTTCTAATTGTAGAATAGAAATATTAGTTATAATACAGGAATAGTAAATAAATGATCATCGAACACACTACTGTACCTAATGTGTTTATTATTTCTTTAGCTTTTGGCCATAGATTATGACATCTTCCTGGATTGACTGTTATACCTAGCATTATGTTTGTCATCATTTGAAATTAGATATAAAATAGGCCTATCAAAACAGATCAAGAATCTCATGTGGCACCTTCAGGTACTGATTTCAATTAAAGGCTGTCTCCAGTTAAAGTAGAATTACCGCTATTGTCATCAATAATTAACATTTACAGAGTACCTCTGCAGAGGTATCTGGTGGTGATAAGAACAGCCTTCTTTTATTTGTAGATTTCTAAGTGTTCTACCCCCTCCTCCAAACTTTTCATTAGGCTCCAGCTACAGACCAGGTTTTTGTTCTGAGCAGTGGATAGAGTTGTTGGGGTTTTGTTGTTGTTGTTTGGCAATGAAAGTAGGGTCTTGCCCCACATGTTACTTGCCCACGGTCACACCACCAGTAAGTGTCAAGTGTCTTTGAGGCGAGATTTGAACTCAGGTCCTCCTGACTCTATCCACTTGACAGTGAGACCAGTGCCTGAGCCATGTATTTTGTGTAATATTCTGTTGAGCACTGTAGACAGAACATTACATTTTAATGAGAGGTGCCCATAGTAAAGAATCTCTAGGTATGTCCAGAACACCTTAATCTTAGGGGACATGGGCCAGGCGTTACAGTTAAAGAAGTTTGAAAGTATCATTCTTGAACTGTCTTCAGTCATTAGAGTGAAGTCCCATTATCAGACATCTGGAATAAGTACCTGCAAGTAGAGGAGGTATATTGATTATATGATATGTATGCAGATACAGTGAAGACCAAATGTTTACCCGGTTCCAGGGACTTTGGAGGAAGTGATTGATTGAAGACAGTCCTACCAGATTAGTTGTTTATACCTCTGTTTTTCATTATGGGTTGCTGGTGTAAATGATTTTTTTTTTTTTTTTTGGTGATCTTTTCTGGCTCACTTGGCATTCAAAGACAAAAACACTAAAAGGTTCCTGGGTTATTAGCTTTTAGAAGAGACTCAGTAAGCAAGTTGCAGTATTGAAGCAGAATACTGTTATGAGTGGCATATTTTATAAATGTATCACCAATACATTTATATTATTTTCCTTGTGTGTTTTTGGAAGAGGGTATTTCTTTTCTACAGGCAATCCTGAGCCTTCTGCATACCATGTACCCACACATCTATAGATACTTGTTATTTGCATTATCATTTCACTTGGTAAGCTACAGTCATTTGCAGTGCAAACTTAAAATCATCTTTCTATGACTTTTATACACATAAATACCAGTCACTGAATATGAATGATACTAGATAGGTGGTGTAAATTGTTATCTGGTTA